TATATGTATATTAATAATGTATATGTATATTAATAATGTATATGTATATTAATAATGTAGAAATGGTGAATAATATAATGGTGAGGTGCTCATTTAGCAGCGAAAAAGTCGGCGGCGATTGGAGCGGTGGCTCAATTGGCGTATTTTCTACGAGAGAATAGCGACGAGGGACGTGCGGCGGTGGTGAATCTGATGGGGTTGTTGGTGTCGAATCGAGATTTCGTGGCTGGTTTGTGGGAGTATACCGTGGGACTGAGGGCTAAGGTGGCGTTCGGTACACCGAAAACGCTGATTTCGGTGCTGGAGAAGGTATTTTTGGTGGTTTTAATGGTTTTTTGAGGTTTTTTCCGGGTTTATTTTGGTACTTTGTGGGGTTTAATTTGGTGTTTTAGAGGTATTTTTGTGGTTTTTGCGGTTTTTTTTGGGGTTTATTTTGGTATTTCCTGTGGTTTTAAGAGGTTTATTTGGTTTTTTGCGGTATTTTGGGAGTTTTCCAGACGAGTTTCTGAGGAGGTAAGAGGTGGGGACGTTTCGCCAAATATTTTGGCGAAGTGTCACCACACAATTGGCTATGTGAAGAATGTATAATGTTTCAGGGTGACTGTATAATGGGCTCAGAGCAGCCCACACTGGTCGCACCGCTATCGCTGTTTATCGCATTGCTATCGAATATACTGCAGACGATTGATGACGATGATTTATTGGGCNTTTGATTGTTTTGTTGTTTTGTTATTGTGTTTGTTGTTTATTTGTTATTATTGTGTTGTTATAATTATTAAAATTATAAAATATTTTAAGAGATTTGACTCTGGGATTGATAGATATAGCGTATCCGGTGGTGAATTACGGCGCGATGAGCGGGGGTGGTATTGGGTTTATTGGAGGGGGCGGGGCGAAGGCGATGACCAGTGAGGAGAGGGAGAAGAATGCCAAGTGGGCGGAGCTTTTTAGGGTATGTTATTTTTTGTTATTGTTGTATTTTGTTATTGTTGTTTCTATTATTTATTATTATTGTTATTATTATTAATTAATTAATTGATGTAGAATGTGGCATCGATAACGAAGGTGTTATACGAACGTGACAGCCGTCTGCACTTTATGCCGAATGGCTTCTGGTCGAATCATAACCGGCAGGTGGTGATTAATACGGTGGGTATTTTTTGTATTATTGTTATTGTTTTTATTATTTATTATTATTATTTATTAATATTTATTATTGTTATTTATTATTATTATGTATTATTATTGTGAGTGATTCATAATGTTTATAGTCAATGTGGCGTAACGGAGGGCGTGGCCAAGGTGGT